ACAAAGGAGCCAGTCAGACCTGTTCCGACAGCGGTTACAGACTTACATTGCCCCCTTGTGAGAACAACATCATAAATACAAGATGGATAGGTTGTGTGTGTGTGAACGTGTTCATTATTTCAAACTGATCTCCGGGTTTGTCACACTGAAGCGCCGGGGAATAAGATGTGTGCTATCGTGCAGCACTAAACGCCAACGGTAACACACCGGCTGAGACTTCGGCAGATCCCAGCGTAATCACGCTTCTCAGACACAAAATCCCTTCATCCCTTTGCTCTCCTGCACCAAACTGCTCTGTTTAAGCGTCAAACTTTGTTCAACACAGGCCTGTACTTGTGTTGTATTATTATTATTTCAATACGTGCATCCTCAGGTGTGTCAATCATTTGGAATTGGAGGTGTTGTGTAGCTCACAAGCGCCCTCAAGAGGCTTCCAGACACATTTATCATGAGTTCTCCCAAGAGGAGAGAATAAAAACAGTTTGACTCTGATTCGTGTATCTGAATTCAACATCTACATCTTGTCCTTGTGAAAAAATACAGCAAAATAAGTCATAAGTTTCATATTACTTATCTCGCATGAGCTCAGTTGGACTGTCAGCAGTGGAAAATGAGTATATGATGATGTCAGGGAAAATGAAAATATCAAAACCATCTCTCTGGGATATTTACCATTGGCGTATCAGAAAACAGAGCAAGGTGTTTATGTAAATGTTCAATAGTTGAACATGCGAATTCTAAAAGGAAGTTTTTTTTTCTTCCATATTGCATAAAATGAGATATGCTGCAAATATATTTGAATATATATATTTATAAATTCTGAATATATAGTTATAACTTATAGATTTATAACTATATATCCAGGATTTACACACACATATATATATATATATATATATTCAGATTTACATGTATATATTATAACTATAGTTATAACTATATAATCGGATTAACATTTATATATTCAGAGTTATACCTATATATTCAGTATTTACATTTATATATCCAGAGTTATAACATTATATTCAGAATTTAAATATATATTCAGAGCTATAACTATATATTCAGTATTTACATTTACAGGTCCTTCTCAAAAAATTAGCATATTGTGATAAAGTTAATTATTTTCCATAATGTAATGATAAAAATTAAACTTTCATATATTTTAGATTCATTGCACACCAACTGAAATATTTCAGGTCTTTTATTGTTTTAATACTGATGATTTTGGCATACAGCTCATGAAAACCCAAAATTCCTGTCTCAAAAAATTAGCATATTTCATCCGACCAATAAAAGAAGTGTTTTTAATAAATAAATAAAAAGTCAACCTTCAAATAATTATGTTCAGTTATGCACTCAATAGTCAATACTTGGTCGGGAATCCTTTTGCAGAAATGACTGCTTCAATGCGGCGTGGCATGTAGGCAATCAGCCTGTGGCACTGCTGAGGTGTTATGGAGGCCCAGGATGCTTCGATAGCGGCCTTAAGCTCATCCAGAGTGTTGGGTCTTGCGTCTCTCAACTTTCTCTTCACAATATCCCACAGATTCTCTATGGGGTTCAGGTCAGGAGAGTTGGCAGGCCAATTGAGCACAGTAATACCATGGTCAGTAAACCATTTACCAGTGGTTTTGGCACTGTGAGCAGGTGCCAGGTCGTGCTGAAAAATGAAATCTTCATCTCCATAAAGCTTTTCAGCAGATGGAAGCATGAAGTGCTCCAAAATCTCCTGATAGCTTGCTGCATTGACCCTGCCCTTGATAAAACACAGTGCACCAACACCAGCAGCTGACATGGCACCCCAGACCATCACTGACTGTGGGTACTTGACACTGGACTTCAGGCATTTTGGCATTTCCTTCTCCCCAGTCTTCCTCCAGACTCTGGCACCTTGATTTCCGAATGACATGCAAAACTGAGCAACAGTCCAGTGCTGCTTCTCTGTAGCCCAGGTCAGGCGCTTCTGCCGCTGTTTCTGGTTCAAAAGTGGCTTGACCTGGGGAATGCGGCACCTGTAGCCCATTTCCTGCACACGCCTGTGCACGGTGGCTCTGGATGTTTCTACTCCAGACTCAGTCCACTGCTTCCGCAGGTCCCCCAAGGTCTGGAATCGGTCCTTCTCCACAATCATCCTCAGGGTCCGGTCACCTTTTCTCATTGTGCAGCGTTTTTTGCCACACTTTTTCCCACACTTTTTCCTTCCCACAGACTTCCCACTGAGGTGCCTTGATACAGCACTCTGGGAACAGCCTATTTGTTCAGAAATTTCTTTCTGTCTTACCCTCTTGCTTGAGGGTGTCAATGATGGCCTTCTGGACAGCAGTCAGGTCGGCAGTCTTACCCATGATTGCGGTTTTGAGTAATGAAACAGGCTGGGAGTTTTTAAAAGCCTCAGGAATCTTTTGCAGGTGTTTAGAGTTAATTAGTTGATTCAGATGATTAGGTTAATAGCTCGTTTAGAGACCCTTTTCATGATATGCTAATTTTTTGAGACAGGAATTTTGGGTTTTCATGAGCTGTATGCCAAAATTATCAGTATTAAAACAATAAAAGACCTGAAATATTTCAGTTGGTGTGCAATGAATCTAAAATATATGAAAGTTTAATTTTTATCATTACATTATGGAAAATAATGAACTTTATCACAATATGCTAATTTTTTGAGAAGGACCTGTATATATTCAGATTTATATAATTATTTCATGTTTGTCATCCTCCCAAATCAAATACATAATAGCACAGTTGAGAACAAATAATATTTATTTAAAATAAAAGTCTCATACAACAAATAGATGACAGGTTGTCTTATAAAATATATACAGCAATGGGCATTAACATTTAAACTTCAGTAAATCACACAAATATCCATGAATAACAGTAATGGTTAGCAGAGGTCAGGTACTTGGAGTGTTGTATACTACAACATTACCAAACTGCTGGTCAAATGTACTCCGAAAGTCATACATATACCTTTTTGCTGACAGAATACCTTACATAACAAAAGAAAATAAGCGCTGATGTCAGAAACAGCCTCCATTGACAGGAAATGCAATACAATCTCTTATGATTTTCCCTTCAAAGGCTGTCGAGAGCCACTTTTAAAAGGAAAATCTGCATCTGCACTTTCCACTCCATTCTTACATCAACTAAGAGAAACTAGTAACAGAACTGAAATGTGAATCTATGTGAGCTGAAGGTTATCTTGCATTGCTGATTCATTTGTGGAGTTACTTGAATGGGGGAATATCAAACACATATTTTATTTCTTTATTCACATGGAATAAAGCAACCTGCTCGAGAGAAAGTTGTTGGAGTTAATGAAGCCCAACAGTTTTAATATATACATCTAAAAAAAAAAAAAAAAAAAAAAGGATTTCAGATTGACTCGAAAGAGCTGAATAAATGCTATATTTATTTATTTAGTCTGTTTTTCCAATTCCAGTTATCTGAAATGCTATCGTCAGTAAGGACACATTTTAAGCGAATGGTTTACCAGAATAGCTATATTGCAAATCTTGATTAATATTACAGACTAATACCTTTATACACGCCCACACGCGTCAAAGTAACAAGCTCAAGCTGTCTGATGCACGCAGGATTGGATTTCATTTAGATTTAAATAGAAAACCAGCAAGCACAAGAAAAAAGCTGGTAATCAAACAGAAATTAGAGCTAGAAAAGAAATGGAAACACTTTTAGAGATGTGGGTTAGCAGCCCTCCTCTGTTACACACATGCCAGGTAGGCAGACAGTTATTTCATAAAAGTGAAAGTTTTGTCATTTTTTACTAACCATTATGTAATTCCAAAACTATTTGACTTACGTTCTTATGTGGATAACAAAAAAAAAAAAATTAGTTTTTGTCTGAAAAATTTATTTTATGACTATACCCAGTGGCAATCCACACGCACCAGATGCGGGCCGGATCTGGGCTGACTGTTGGTGTCTGGGTATAGTAAAAGTCAATGGGGTCCAGTGTTGTTTGGACCCCAAATGTTCTTCCAAATATCTTCTTTTGTGTTCGACAGAAGAAAGAAAGAAAGAAAGTCATACATACATTTTTGGGTGAACTAAGCATTTTACAAGACGTTTGAAAAAAGTGTTTGCTAGCCTGCCGTCTTTGTGTAAATTCAGAATAAAGAGCCGAGATACTACGAGTCTTCAGACTCAGATTAAAAGGGCTTTGATGGATTTCTATTTTAATCTAAAAAACGGAAGGATAAAAGAATAGTGAGAGAGACAGAAAGAGGAAGATAAAACTAAATATCTCGCTATAGTGTCTTAGTTTAAATCGATGATGCTTTAGATACGAAAATCTAATTTAAACCTGAAAATGTACTTGAGCACTTTTTCTGGTGCACTAATTTACTTTTCACTCATATTGTTATGCTGATAATCTAATGACAAGGACAATGCTAAACATTTCACTAGTAGACTTTTCACTAGTAGACGCCCATTGTACGAGGACTGTGTGTCTTTCCGTATCCGTATTCGCCCACCCATCGGATTGCCTCCATCCCCATTAAAGCTAACAGGATGAAACTTTCTGCTACCCAGCATCCCAGAGCTATTTACAATCTGCAGTGCTTTAGAAGAGTTGTCCGCCGTGAAAGAAAAGGAAAAAGAAAACAACATAATATTTAACAAGTGGGTGTTCGCATTTCTCTCTCTGCTTCTTTCTCTATTTTGTCAAATAATCCGAGAGACGGAGACCAGCTTTATCACTTTAGCGCACAGGGGACGGCTAACATCAGAGAACTGGAAAGAAAAACGGGAGAACGTTTGCTTAAAGCTGCAGTTTGTCTACCATTGGCTAGTCGAACAGACAGTCCCGCCCCAAACTCACACCATTGGTTTAGCCAATGTTGTTGTGTCAGGGTGTTCAAATAAACAGAGCCACAGTGTTTGATACTGTGTGTGGAAAACAACTATGAATGGGTTAGTCTTTAGAAGAAAGTATTTAAAGATGGAAAAATATTACACACGTCACCTTTAAGAAAGGTTCTGAACTTGGTTTAAATACAAAAATATTGCAGGTGGAGAGGGGAAATGTCCAATGAGCTGTATTACACAGTCCAAGGACTTTCTCTGTGAGTGCAACATATGGCGTATGTGCATGAATGCTACACGTTGTGCATTTAAAAAACGATTCATAGAAAATGTATGATTGCAACACACTCTGGTCTACGGACGTTATAGAATCCGCTATAGATATAGATACGTTTGGATGAGAAATCACACGCTTGCGGCACGTCCCTGAAAGGATCCAGTGGAGAGAGGAAATGAAAAGGCCCTGACGGTTAGACAGCAGCTTTCTGTCCTTGCTCTACTGGCACAGAGTAGACCCTAGAGAAACACACAGAGATGAGAACAGTCAGTTCACTATGGAGACATTGATTCAATCTTTAAGACTTGCTCGAGCACTTTTATACCTTTCCCCCGAACAGTTTTTTCTATATTAAAACACATAATGAAATTAATGAGAAACATTTTTTTTTTAAATGGCACACACTGGATAAAAGCTTAATAAAAGAGGCGTGTCATGAGATTAGTCAAATATTGTTCACTTTTTTTAGGTACATTTGTTACTTTAAACTGAGTACACAACTAGTTTACAACTACATTTTTCATTTGTACTGCGACTGAACTTATAGATGTACTGATAGTTTACTAGTCAAATACTTATAGCACAAGTCATGTGTCCATCTGTGTATATTCTACGTTTAGCTTTTCACTTCTGGTGGTTGAATTTAGGCTTCAAAATTCATGAAAGTTGTGTTCATTTGTAAAGATTATTATGATGGAAACGTGTAAAAAATCATTAACTTTTGTTGTTTTTTGCAATAATCCAATAACCAATTGAAAAATCCTATGGACCCTTTTGTCATTCACCGGCAAGGTAATATAACACAGTATAGCGTTATAAATGTGTATTACGTTTTTTTTTACATTAAAAATGATCACTGCAGTGCTCTATTGTGCCAAAACAACTCTTTAGCTCCGCCCACTCCCATGAAGCACCACAAATGACATATAGAGTCTGTTTTGTGTGGCAAAAGCAATCATAATACAGTTGTGTTTCTGACATTCTGAATCCATATTCAAACATCAAAATATGGTCTTTTTGAACTGGGAGTTGAAATGTTTTCTCAAAATAGTTGAAAAAAGTGATTCCTGTTGATGTGGCCCATTTAAACATGGTTCAGACACACCAAGCCAAACATCTCCAAGAACTATTCAATGTGTTAAGAAAGAAAGCATTGCAGTAGCACCGACAAATATTGGACAAATTTACACAGCCAGGCTGATATCTGTAAAGAATAGGGTCGGCTACGAGTCACATTTTACTCAAGGCAATACATATACATGTGAGAGGAGCTTAACCCTGACTTTCGTTTTGAATAGAGAGACATTCAGCTTATAGTTCAGGAGAAGGATGAATGGAGCTCTTTGTGACACATCCATGCTGTTCAAACACATGTGCGTACGCTTGCTCTCCTCAGGTAAATGCTGTTTAATTTACCTCAGTGATGAATTCGTTCACAGTTTGCCTGGCTTTATGAACTCTATGGCAGGATTTTTTGCCCCGCGAGGCATTTCGGGGTGCTTTTATCATTTTTTTATTGAGAGTGCTTTCTGTGAACATGCTCAGAAAGGTTCAGTGTTGATCCACAGAGCCTGTGGTTGCTGTGTGATTAAGCCCCTTTCAGCCACCCTATCACTCAACACCGAAAAAAAGAAGCAGCCGTGGCTCAGCTAACTGCATTCCCCTGAGGTAACCTGTAATCCCGCAGAAGAATTTAACCTCAATAAAGAAAGAGAGAGTAAGAGCGGGTGAGAAAACAGAGGATCTTTAAGCTTGCTGTTGGGAGGCAGGTGTCAGACAAACTCCGCTCCCTCCCAGCCTTTCTCTCACATATCACCATACTCAGCAACTCACTGAAACTGATTACTTTGCAAAACAGGTAAGCATAGCAGCCAAATTCAGTTACACAACCTATCAGGACGACAGCGAAAGGCCACAAACTGGGGAACAGGACGTAAGAGAGAGAGAAAAATGCAGTTCTTTCCTTACTTTGCGAAACAATCTCAGAGAGAGAGGGAGAAAAAAAAACTGTTTTATCGTTTAAACACCTAACTGGTTTTGTCGCCTTAAAGGGATAGTTCGCCCACAAAATACAATTTGTGTTATCATTTACGCACCTTGATGTTGTCCCAAACCTGTTTGACCTTTTATTACAATCAAATCGAATATGGACTGAATATGAAGCTTTTAAGCTTCAAAAAGGATGCAAAGGCACTAAAATATCATCATAAATGTAGTCCGTGTGACTCATACTTGCATACTGTCTACTAGGAACCTCGTTTGGATTGAATTCAAAATGAATTAAAACTAAATCCATAAAATGATCCCATGATGGGAACCCCTAAAAGGTTCTATAAATGAAGCACCAGACCAGAACCCGTTAAGGTTCTATATAGAACCTTTTCTTCTAAGAGTGTACTCTTTTGATGTACTGTTTTCGCATACTATATATCATGTAATTAGGCATATTTGTACACAGTCTTCGGAGGTCATAAGAAACAAACTGTAATTTAAGTCATTATTTACTGAAAGTCTTTCCCTCAGCATTAAAGGAGTAGTTCACTTTTAAAAAAACTTTTGCTGATAATTTACTCACCCCCATGTCATCCAAGATGTCCATGTCTTTCTTTCTTCAGTCGAAAGGAAATTAAGGTTTTTGATGAAAACATTCCAGGATTATTCTCCATATAATGCACTTTACTGGGCACCAAACGGTCCAAGGTCCAAAAGACAGTTTCAGTGCAAACTGCAAACTGTTCAAAGGGCTTTAAACAATTCCAGACGATGAATAATGGTCTTATCAAGCGAAACGATCGGTCATTTAAAAAATAAATTACAAAGTTTAAGTTTTATAAGCTCAAATGCCCGCCTTGCTCTGTTCTGTGATGCACGTTTATGACTCTCCTGTTCGAACTCGTTCATCAAAATGAACAAATCTTTTTTCGAGTCATTTGATTCATTTAACGACCGAAATGAACGAATTGACTCGGAAAAAGATTTGTTCATTTTGATGAACGAGTTCGAACAGGAGAGTTACACAGAACAGAGAAAGGCGAGCATGTGAGCTTATAAAACTTAAACTTTGCTGTTGTTTTTTTAAATGAGCGATCGTTTCGCTTGATAAGACCATTATTCATCGTCTGGTGTCGTTTAAAGCCATTTGAACAGTTTGCAGTTTGCACTGAAACTGTCATTTGGACCTTGAACCGTTTGGTGACCAGCAAAGTGCATTATATGGAGAAAAATCCTGGAATGTTTTCATCAAAAACCTTAATTTCTTTTCGACTGAAGAAAGAAAGACATGGACATCTTGGATGACATGGGGGTGAGTAAATTATCAGCAAAAGTTTTTTTAAAAGTGAACTACTCCTTTAAGGCCTTGTCCCAAATGGAACCCTAAAGCACAAAGTATACTTCGGTCCGGTCACTGTCCGTGTGATGTCATTTTCGGGCTCTGCAAAAGTGCAAATCTAGGGCGCATATCGGCCGCAAAGAAAACTAAAATGAAAATGGGACACCATACGGCAGAGGTCTTCAACCCTGCTCCTGAGAACACATTGTCCTGCATGCAGAGTTTAGCTCCAACCCTAATCAAACACACCTGAAGTCGCTAATCAAGCTTTTCAGGATCACTTGAACATGCACAGGCAGGTGTGCTGAAGAAAGGTTGGAAATAAATTTTGCTGGACATGGGTCCCCAGGAGTAGGGTTGAAGACCCTAGGGATTTGTATGCTGCGTCCGAAATACTCTCTTGAGTAGGTACTTATTTTGAGTAAGTAATTACTCAACTCTGAGTAAGTCATTTACTTTACGACCGCTAAAAAGTTTGTTCTATATAATATGAATGTGTGTAGTATGAAAGTAATCCAGACGTACTACATCCACCATGTTGTCATCATGTGACCTACCAGCGTCAGTTACGTCGCGTCACCTCCATTCACAAATCCTCTCCCGTGGCCTCATGGGATAGTAAAGTGTCTATCGAAATGTGGACTTCAGAATCTCTCTGGAAGAAGTAGGTCATCTTGGTTCATTTTGCCTACACTTTTATGAATTCGGACATACTTCTTTTGTCACACTGTTTTTGGCCTACTATTTAGTAGGGAAGTATGTGATTTTGGATGCAGCCTTGTGGACTTAACAGACATGTACCGTTGTGAGTCTACAAGATCGCAAGTGCACATGAAGTGTGCCATTTGGGACAGGACCAAAGCTGTTAACCCCAGTGACAAAAATCCATTGAGTCAGTGAGTTGAACCCAAGAATCGGATGAGTCCAATTTGTGAAAGAATCATTCAGATTGATATTGTGAACTGAATTTTAATTTACGAATTGGATGCATACTAATCTTCATTTTTGAGTACATGATGACAGAATTTTCATTTTTGGGTGAACTGTTTCTTTAAATGCACAGGGTACTGAATGCTTACTTAGAGAAGCAGTGTATACAAAGTAGAGTCTTTAAAATGGCCTGAACCTTAACCAAAAAATTAATCATTTTTGAGGGGGTCACTATACATGCAATGTAGGCTACAGATAAATGGCATGTAATTTGTTATACTGCGGTTTGGAAGTGTGGCTGTGTTTGCACAAAAAACAATAATAATTCAAAATGCAACAAATTGCAACACCCTTTCTTCTTCCCTCTCTCTCTAAGAAACTGGTTTGAGCAGTTTTGTCCCTGTCTGTTTTTGTCTGATAACATCATGACAAACAGAAATGGAAAAAATTCTTATTTTTTTTACATGCAACTTTTCATTTTCAAATGTGCCCATGACATATTCCCACACTGTAAACTCTCACAGAGTTTAGCAGGTCATATCTTGTTCATGTTAGTCAACGCCTGGCTTGTTCTCTGTCCTTTTTTCTTTGTGTTTCAGGGACTTGTTTTTAACAGCTCAGGGCTTGAGGAGCGTTTGACAGATGGCTGGAAAGTAGAGTCATCGATGCACATGTACCAACCCGCTGCTAATGGTGGCCTATCCCTCCTGCATGTGGCCCTCTATTGTCTCGCATACTGCTGTCGTCATGTGTTTAGTGGGTTACCAGGGATTCAGAAATCTGTTACCCATCGGACTGGTTGGACCACCCCAAAAGTTGACGGGGTGTGGAGCACTAAAGCCGCCTTGTAAATATAAGCACTGAAGTGTCACTCAAGATAAAGTGTCTAGTAAGCTAAAGGTGAGAAAAATATTTTTTTCCCCACCCGTTTTCCAGTAAGTGCTGCCAAATCCTTCTTAGAACCAGTAATAGGGGACCATGCAGAGCAACTAATAAACAAGCAATAGCAGTGCAAATACGTAGCTTCAGCTTCAATATTTTCCAAATTATTAGTGAGGTGAAGCAGATATTTCCAAACCTCTACACACAAAGGCATGCACAAGTCCACACTGCATATGCGGGTATTAGTTTGTGGGGTGTACACACACATTTCTGTCCAATGGATTTTTCTATATTCAACCCAGCATGAGTCTTTAATAACATTTCTTCAATATAAGTTTGTCTGACGGACAGGTCATTCGAAAATTGCTAGAAAGCAAAGCTAAAATCAATCTTACCCCTGTTCTCGGTTTTGCAAGTAGCGTCTGAAGAGGAGAATAGCTGTAAAGATAAAAAAAAAAAAGATTTTTATTTTAGTTTTTGCATTACAGGGCTTGGCATTGTTACATCATAAGTCTCCGAACCGAACGACCTCACAGAACGCCTACTGTATGAAAATTGCCTTGCTTTTTTTTTTGGTCAAATAAACCAGGACGTTCAGCACACATCACTAGAGTTTGGGTTGACAAGAATTTGGCCTACAGATTTCGATTCAGTGAGCTTGTAAAGAACACACCCATATCACATGACTTTTGACAATAGGGCAATACTTTAGATATTCATTTACAGCATGTATCCCATAAAATGTATAACTATAATCAAAAGGAAGCATTCCTGGGCTTGCATTTGCAACGTGATCTCATTAGTTGTAGGTATCATATGCAAAGTGTATTTATAGCACAAGTTTTCATATATTTGCATAGGCACTGAAATGTACTTTACTATCGAATTGACAGCATCTAAAACTGCATTTTTATACATGAACTACAACATACAAATGTTTATGAATCCTTTTGTATTTATAAAATATTAAAAGCAATTCATTAATAGGTTGATTTAAATGTATTACATTTAATGACATTAATTAATTTCATCACTAAAAATATCTATATAACAGTATATTGTGACTAAAATTGCCATTTGCATTTTGATTGAATGGCATTAATTAAATATGTTCAAATCTGTGTATCATGTGTTTTATATTGTTAATAAGCAGGTTTACAGAATAGGTGAGGTTAGGGGTTTTAAAATATATACATAATAGTAAAATATAGTAGGCCTACATGCAATTTATATTTTGAAAATAAATAAAACATTCATATTTTTATGACCCTAACCCTAAATACTTTAACTTTATATGAGCTGTCATTATGTCCATATTGTACATTTCGGTGTACACCAAAAAATCACCATGTAAATGTTATACAAATACGGAAATACCTATGATACGAATACTAATGAGATCAAGCTGCCATTTGCTGGAAAGGAAGTACAGCTCATACATCTACAAGAAACAAACAGCTCAGATATTTCATGTAAAATTGAACTACATCTTGAAATTGTTTGAAGATTTTTACACACACTATTTGTGAAAGCTAAATCCACGACTTTATAGCACACAAGTCGTCTGGTAAATGCCTGTTTTAACAGACCCAACCTACCTACAATACAGCCAATGGCCAGAATTGTGACGCTAACGGCAGCTATGATGATTACCAAGGTTCCACCTACAAATTAACAATAAAAACAAGGAGGATGTACATTAAATTTGTGCACATATTCATTTGACCCACGTCTGAAATATGAATTAATCCATATAGAAGAATTTGATGTTTTTTTCAACCTGCAGCTTCGTCTCCTGTGGATTTATCTAATCCAGGACTTGCTTCAGGACCTTCTGATTCAACAAGCTGTACCCCATTTCTCCCTGAAAAAAAAAAAAATGCAAACACAAGGATGATATTCATGGATTAACTGTTATCGCATCAACAATGGTAACACAATTTTTAATGTTACTAATTAATGTGTTCAAACAGGGACCCATTACAGCTTTTTATTAAAGCTACTGTGAATGTTTTCTGTGCCTCTAGTGGCCCTAAATGGAGGTGCTAAAAAATATGATTGTTTTTAAGCAGATTCCCCAAACATTTCATCATCTGTCGTTTACAGAGTTTATGGCTTTTCAGAGTGATATCTGCCACATATACACTGTAAAAAAAAAAAAAAAAAAAAAAAAGTCACTGCCTTACATTTTTAAGTACAATCAACTTGGGTGTTTGTTTTAGTAATTTCAACTTAAATTACATTAAACTGACTTAAAAATGAGTTCAATTTTGTACAACTTGTAAATAATTTTGAAAATTGCTTAACTTATATAGTCAAAGCAATGTAAAAACACATGTTGTCATAACTTATTGATCTTTACAGTATAGTAGGGACATTTTTACAACAGTTTTAATAGTGGTGAGATAAAAACGAATGCCAGATTTGCACCCATATGAGCAGCACAGCTCGATGTATCTTCTATGCCACATCTCTGAGCCAATTCTTCTTGTTAATCACTGACATTTCTTTAGTCTTTTCTAGGAAATTAGCTGGGAAATGAATCACAATTCTGATCGTGGATCCCTCCATATCACCTCCCACCCCTCCCATCTGCCTCTGGCCAGAGCTGGTGAGCAGGGCTTGCTTTAACAGCTCAGTAATTCTATCAGAGAGCAATCATTCTGCTGATGAAGACGGACAGCTCCTCGCACAGGAGAGCTGAATGAGACTGCCAACGTCCATTAAGGGGACGGACAGGGGTGCGGACGGAGCCGGGGCTATCAGCGGCGCTCTGCTGGGACACGCTAATTGATTGCTTTCAAGAATTAATGTGGCAGATGAGCTGGTCACGTCTTACAGTAACAACCTGTCTTCATGTTATATGTGCGACTGGAGAGGAATACCCACCTTCCCTACCATACTCATCATCACCACCCTCATCGTCACCTGGGTAAATGAGAAGAAGAATATAGACAAATACATTAAAAATAAAACTGTGATGGTTATTTACCAAACACTATGTCATGGTTCACCCCCCAAAATAAGGACAAACAATATATTATTTTGCATATATTTCATGACAATTAAGCAACCCCTCCTCCCCAAACTCATTGTTACAACTGTCTGATTTTCCCCCATTATTTTCCATAGTGAATCCCATTAGATTCTCCTTGATTCTCCACTTTTTATAGAAAAATAAAATGATGTATTTATTGATAATATAATAATCAATTTATTTAAATTGCGTGAATCAAGGGAAGTACAACAAATATAACATGTTATCAAGTTTTAATTTCAATGTTATGTTTTATATAATCTGTATATTACATTAAAGTAAAGAGAAAGAGATTTTTGGGGAAGAAATTGTACTTAATTGTCAGAAAAAATATGAGAGGTCATACCGTCAGCTCCTGATGAATTCCCTTCTGTGTCTTCTGATGTTGCAGCTGTTCATTCGAATACATAAATAAGAGGTTAGGGCTATAACCAATCATTATAAAGGAAACAACTGAGTGTCTTCAGAGGTTATTCCACTGCAAGATAGTGAAGGTGAAACAGCTCCATTTTGAAATGACTAGTTTAACATATAGCATTTCATTTGTCACGTATCTAAGTGGCTGTAAAAAAAAGTGTTTTCAAGGCATTTTGGAAGAAAAGTGTCTGCTAAATGGCGAGTAAAAGGGAGATTGGTTCACAAGCCTGTCACTGATACAGATACTTTAGACAGACATGAGAAATAAAAGATGGATTGAGACCAAAAATAAACATCTGAATATAGGACAGAGAGTTTTTGGATCAAAGAAGGACAGAATAATATAAGCGTAGTTAAAATGAACTTACCTGAGCCTTGAAGAATCAAAAACAGAATGAGTAAACGCAGCATCTTTTTGTTCTAGGAAAAGAAAGAAAGGAATTAATCTACACATTAGAAGACTACATCTACATTTCTCAAAAACTTTGATACACAGTCAACCCATGTGAACCCAGCCTATGTGTAACCTAGATAAATTCCCATAGAAAAACATTCTCTAATCTCAAACAGATACATAGTAATGTATTACACCATGGCTGTTAATAAACAACTAGGAATATAATCAGTCTTGAGTGAAAACTGACTAAATAACCAGACTAAACAGTACAAATTCACCAAAAGTTAGTATGTCGGCTTTATCTAATCCGGAATTTACTGAGGGCTGACTCATGCTTCATGATTTGTCAACTTTGTGGTCAAAAAAATAGTTTTTTGAATATTCAAGGAAGAAAACCGGGTAGACCCAAAAAACTTAATTGTATTGACCATTCATGGAGTCTAAGAAATATTGCAACAGACCAACAACACTTGGGAAAATGAGAGATCAAAATGGTCAAAAACTGGAGCTGAAAAATACTTATGGTCTTGTGAAGTCGCACCGGAACAACTACACAACATTCTCGTAGTCTTAAACTTAAATTGGAGGCAAGCAGAAGTTGAGACATTTGAATAGAAATGTAAAGAAATGTGCCCCCTCTTTCCCTGTAACAGTAAGAAGTGATTCATTTCAGACGTGCATGTCATTTATGAACCGTCTCACACCTATATGATTTAACAGCCTTCATTGTGAAACCATCTGACAAGCTGCCAAATGACTTTAATCAATAAAACTAAAACACAAATAGACATGTACAGAAGGAGGAACGTAGCCAGTTATGTTTTCAAGACTTTACTTCCACATGGTGCCTTTCCCAAAACGGCCTGATGATCATAATCTAGGCAGATGTGTAACACACACAGCTGGCCGAGTGCAGCTTCCGCTGGCTGTTCCTCTTAACAATTACACCTATTTATTTTGGTTCCCACTTATGGACTAGGAAATGGGAACTAGCCCGGGAATGACCTTTTCCTGAGTTCTATTTAAAATGGTTAAATATAGCAAAGGCTTATGCCATACAATCAAATAAGTGCTCTAGTGCCCAAGGTCCAAATTCCCCTTCTGTGGCCTGCATATCAATCTCACAAGCCTCTACTCTTCATCCAGATATTGTTATTGGTGCCCATTGTGTTGGGCTTCCACTTCCTGCTGCTTTGACAATATCTGGGATCACCATGCAGGGAAGTGACACCTGGACTTTATACGCCTGCTTTCTCCATTCACATTCTACTACCCCAACTGGACGGTCACTTTGTGCGGTTTCCCTAGCTGTGCAAAGCTTGTAACTATATATTTTAAAAACAATAGGCCTATAATTTATCATTTAATCAAAGTCATATTTTTGCTGACACAATTTGAATGAATGAACAATCTCAACAGATAAATTTAGACAACGACAACATGAAATGAACTCAATGAACTGAACAGATATTCCAACGATCCATATAAGAGCGGCCCTTTTCAGATGAACCAATTAACTATAATGACTCAGGCTTAATAATGCTATGAGAAAAAGTACAGTTTTGGATGAACTGATTAACTTTGGCATTTGGGCGTTCATGTTTTATAATTCTCTTAGTTCAGAAATTAAAATCCTTAATAGCGTTAATATAACATTGTACATTTAATGTATTCTCAAGAATAACATATATTTCAATAGAAACTTATAAAAACATATTTTTTCCATGACCTATCTAGTCATTTCATTTACAAGGTGTGTATATATTAAAAATAATTGCAATTTAACCCAACAATTTAACATTGGTTCTTGCTGAAGTTTAAACGTGCTGCGTAACATGAGAATGAACCTCATTGGTTCTTGCTGAAGCTGAAACTTGCTGCGTAACACCAGAATGAACCTTATTGGTTCTCATACGTCAAGCAAGCATGCTTGAGCTTCTGTTTACCATATCTGACATGGTCGTTGATACATGTTTATATATGAATATAAGTCTAAAGGAAACCTGTTCATCATAAAAAGCGATTGAGTCTCACCAGAAAATTGTATTAACCTGTTAACTGGCACCCCCCTTTTTTTTGCATAGACATAAAAATCACTATCCAAACTTAAATGGTTGTAATTCAGGAATGCTTTGGAATATAGACCTATGGCTGGTCTTGTTTTAAAGAAGACATTTTCCAGATTATTGTAGAAGTCCAGAAATTGTAAAAAATGAAACAGAAAAAAAGTTATATAAGTTTGAGTTTATGAAATTGTGTAATGTAAAAATATAATGATTAATATTTTATATAAAATATATATATTACAAAATATATTTTACTCTAAAACTGCAAGAAAAATAAAGTCAAATATCTGAACAAGTTGTATTCCAAATTTTAGGTTGATATCTCAAAAAATGAGCTTTCAGTAAGATTTTATTCGGGCGCAGTACCCAACTTTTTCACTAGGTGAACACCAGAATCCATTACAGCCCATATAAGGGCGCCTCCATTTTCATATGTTTTGAGTGATCTGAACCATGTATTTCCATAATTTTCATACAATTTATGAAGTAGACATCCTATTCAGAAGTAGTAGGGGTGGTTTGGCAGTATTTGATTTGAATTAAACCTCTAATAAATGCATAAAGACTACGTTATAGCGTTATAGCTCGCAGCCGCATTACAAATCGAGAATCCATACATTTTTCTTTATATTTAAAACATTTTCAGACCTTTTTTTCTCATAATATGGAATTGGTGTTATCTTTTGAACTCATGGCATGAAAACAAACTGAGGTTTCTACCAATCTTTCATGATTTTTCATGTTTATTGTTATTTCAAAATAAAGGCCTAAATACTCCTAATGAATATGAAATATTCTTGTTGCAAATTGATAAATTTCTGCTCCTCTGTAATATATTTTAGATAACAGCCACCAAATATGAAAACTAGAGATTTTAAGCTTTCAAATGATATATAGTTTGGCAATATTACTTTAGGTTTTTACTAAGATATTATTGTTTTAAACATGCAATGGCAAATGGGCCCGCCGGCGTCAACCAAATGGGCGCCGCATGCAGGGTTAAGAGGTTAACTTTGTGAAGCAACAAAGTGGTATGTGCATGGAATCTCTTCAACCCGCGGATTACAAAAACAACCCGCGGCAACAGTATAAAAGTTGCCCAATTCAGCTGGAAAACCACGGACTTGGCAAGACTGGGTAAAAAGAAGTTTGACATTCCATTTCACTGGTATATAGCGAATATCCCGACATACATACTGTACATTACACTGCTGAGAGCGGCAAGATGAATTTAAATATGTGCTGTGGACTTTCCTCTCAATAATGAAAGAAACACAAAACAAAAATGCCAGATAGTTTGCTTTGGCAAACAGTTTCAAACTATCGGAACAAACTCTAAACAAACTTCGTTTTGGCCTGATTTTGTTCGAAATGTCGTCACACAAGTTAATTATTAGATTTCACTTGAAGTATCAGGGCCTTTACTGCCTAACAGAGATAAGTTGTGTTTTGGTGACGTGTGAACTTGTCAATAAACGCAAAATACTGAAAAATGAGCTTTGTTTGTACAACAACCCGTGAATACTTAGAACTGTGCTGAGCGGAGAGTTTGCTTAGACCCTAACAAAGCTATATTTGATAGTCTAATTAGCAAATTATCATATAATGGTTACAGCAGCTGAACCCAGCCTTGAACACTTTGTCCTAATTACATTGTCATGTCTTCAACTGTGGATTACATGTCTTAAATGTGTCCAAAACTATTAATAAGTGAAAATTAAAGTAGTATCGTGGTAGTGATACCATGTCTGTCTTAATGATAGGCTGTCTTGGCAAACTCATCCTTAAGGGACTGCAGTATCTGTGCAGCAGCCAGAAAGAAAAACAGGCTGGCTCCGTAAAGAGAGAGAGAGAGAGATTGCGGTGGCTTTACTCGTCTCGTAATTTGGAATTTCCACGCTCAATTCAGGTCGTCACGGCAAGAGAGATTCTCTCAATTAAGCTGTTAATCAGAAGATGTGGGACTGGTTGTCGGAGCAAGCACAATCCAAGCTTGTAAAAATGTGACAGCAAATCTCCCATCAACAGTAACCTACAGCCGTCTGAAACCCCTTCAGACCCCCTCCCTAAATTCCAATTTGGTGCGCCCTGCTGCCTCGGAGAAATAATAAGCTGAACCAATTTGAAAATATTTATCAGTGCAGTCCAACGCCTGCGAGTTGACAGTCCTCCTGAAGCTCGTGTTGCTGAACAATTGGCTAATATATTTGTGTGTATTTGAATTCAAATTGAATTTGGTCTATTCTCCAGTTTTTGCACTTGTTTTGCCTCCACCTAATTTGTGCTCTATCATTAATACACGTAGTAGCACTGTGAAAGATATGAGCCTGCAGCAAAGCCACCAATGAAAAACCTCTTTCATACCTCATAAAATCATAAATCAACAACAGAAAAGTGTAACAGGATTATTATTATTTTTTGCCTCGCCCTACAATGTGTGATTTCTGCGTCTTCCATTGTTCACACTAACAGGTTGAGCTGATGGTGGTGTGTCAATGTTGAAAGCAATGGGAAATCAGTCTACAAATGACTACGGAAGTAGATGAAGTTTCAATTCAAATTTCTGATTATCTTTTTTGGGGAATAACATGCACAAAAGGAGAAGGAACATGTATTCAGATGGTTAATAGGGTCAGCTGATTTCATATAGACTTTAGGCAGATTAGGGAACGGTCTGAAAAAAGAAGATATGAAAATTATTCTGTGTAGCACAACAATAATCAGGGAGCTAATAAATCGCATTGCGCCGATCTTATGGAAATTATTTTGTCTGGATGTTTACTTAGTCTGAGTAATAAACAGTCATCTATGTCTCAAAGATACCTAGACCAGACAGACTCATTAACTTCCAGTTAAATCAGTAAGTACATTTATAATGTCATAATTGCATGGAGCATTTGGCACAACTTCTATAAGAGTAAAGTACACAGTGTCCTAACCAGACTTGACAATAAGAG